AAAGAATGGTCAGAATATTTATGAAAATTTCCTTTCTCCTAATGAAGACGGTAGCATGAATTCTGTCCTTAGTTACCCTAAAAAGTTCCGAATTCACCAAATAAATTGGCGTGCAATATATGAGGCTAACTTCTGGCAGTGCGAAGCAAGTGTCTAAAACGGACAACCTATCTGAAGTACCCTTCTGGACAAATAAATGCCTTTTCTAAAATTTTTATTGATAAAAATAAAAATAAAAATAATCAAGAAAAGATAATTGCTGCTTCAGTTTCCATCATCAAATTAAATCTGGTGGATCGTATATTGATCGCTTGAAAAGCCCTGTTTGGCAGTTACCTTATTGTACTAAAATTAGTGAATTCCATAAGTCACAGTGGGTTGATTATGAAGTTGCCCACTTTTTAAAATAAACTTCAGATGGTTAGATCGCTGAATGGACTTGAGCTTTGTCCATTTTTACGAGTTTCAGCGCTGCTAGAAACCACAGTTTTCACATCTGAGTGGTCAGTTAGAACCAATCATCAAAATGTTTACAGACTATCTGTGATTTCAATTACCTTTGCTGCAAAAATCACAAATTTGTATACATTTTAAAAGTGGACGCTTTTTTCTAATGTACACATTCTAGTGGTTAAAAATAAAACTACTTACTATCTAGAACATCCGATATACTGTTCTTATTCATGGATAGATAATTGCTAATAGAAACACAGAGCATACGCCTATTCTTCCCTGGAAGCTAAATTTGAAATAATTGCCGCCTCTGTTCTTCATCTTCTGTAAAGTATCGAACTAAAGTCATCGCCTAGTGTCTTCAACTTCATAACATCTCTTGCGGCCCCCTCTAAAGTTATCAGAAAATATAAACGTTCAGCTAGCCACTGGAGTCTAGGAAAAGCCCTTGTATACGTATTCGGTACGGCCTAAGCGTTCATGTCATACAACTTCTATGTAGCGATGACCTGTATGGCTGCCTAAATAGGACACGGAGACAGGAACCGCCTACAATACAGGAGGCTTTTCCGAGTAGGATAAGGTTTAAGATTAAGGTGGTAGTTTAGGTTTAGGTTTAAGGTTGTGATTAGGCTGAAAGTTGGGAGTGGGATTATATTAAGAGTTAAGGTAAGGGTTCGTGCTAACTTTAGGTTTAGGGAGGGCTAGGATTAAAATTATGGGCTAGTGTTATGTTAGGATTAAGACAGGGGAATATTTACCCCCTCCCTGAAATTTATTCTACGGCCGCCTATTTTAAATTGGCGGCGATTTCTTATTTCTGTGTTCCGTTTGTACGGTCACACCAGTTATCCTTGCCATCTTATCTTATCATTTTCCAAACATAACTTCGATAATGCCTCGAAAGACAGGGAGCTAAAAATCCTTCCCAAACAAAGAAAATTTACTGAGGGGGGGGAGGTTTGTAACGAAGTGAGCAATGAGTAAGCAGCCTGTTAGTTAGGCGAGCTGATTTATAGCTTTTGCATGTGCAACAGAGCCACGTGTTGAAATGGACTCAAATCGGTACATTTTCCGAGTGGGCCTGCCGAGTGATGCGCAGTAAACACGACAAAGGGCCCATCCCACGATTCCTACGTGGTTTAGAAGACACGTTCATTCCTCAGATATTGTGTGAGTCACTTATTTACAACGAAAAACGCTAAAAAACGGATTACTGTTGCTCACTATAGAAGTGAACTTTGCAGTATATTTGACAGGGGTCATTTTTACAAGAAAAATGCCTAATTGTGCGAACTGACACCGGGAGAAAACTGTCTTCAGTGCGGTAAGATAAGTTGTTACCAGGTCTATCTATTTAAAAAATTGTCGCAAAATTAATTAAATGGGGGTACCTATAAGGTTGGCTGCCATATGCAAGCATTTATTCGTGCTACCAATGTTTCATTTTTCTGAGCTGAACAAATTTTTATTCTGTAATAAGAGGTGATTGCTCATGGGTTCATTCAAACTTCACTTTTCTGTCGG